TAAATTTTAATAGTCAATAACTCAATAAAACATTATCCTATAATCGATGATCATTTTGTAACTTTTGGTAGTCGATGGACTCAACAGAGCAACATCTTATAATCGATGATCATTTTAATAGCCAAATTGAGTCAATGACAGTAATGATGGCTTCAAATACCATAAGCATTTCACTGTATTTCGAAGATGCATCTCAAAGTGGAGTGATGTTCGATACACCTTCTCTTCAAGAAGCAAACGAAGATGAAGACGAAGACGATCAAGGCGGACAACCCCGACGTACTCGACGAGCCCCGCATCATTATCATTCGATCACTCCTCGGCATCGTCAAGAATTACGAAAATATAAATAAATTTTATTATGCAATGTATTAGTTTGTAATAAATTATATTATATTAATTTAATTTTTTAATTAATATTTTTAAAATTATATCCTATTGAAACTGGTCATGTGACGAGTTTCAACGGTTACTTTTTTTTTTTTAATTTCAAAAGTTGTTTGTTGCACAACAAATACTTTTTTTAATTCAAGGCAAACTCGTCACCTTGGTTTAAAAAAGCACGCATCAGGTGCGCCTGATGCGTGATGCGGCCGTTGCGATGGTCAAAGCGTATTTGACAGCCGATGCGATCCAATGCGGTCTGATGCGAGCCGATGCGTTTAGTAAAATTTTTTTGGGCTTTTAGTTGGACTAGTTTATGTTTCTAACTTAATTGCTGGAATGAGCTTAAAAAACCCATATTCAATTGACCTAAATCTCTAATAAAATGTCACCTGGTTGTTGCTTTCCCTCCATCGAGCTTTCTCACCTGCTATTGAAGATCTGCCATTGAAGAAGAAACTTGAAGGTAAGTCTCGAAAATTGTTTTTTATTTTTACATTTATCATCGATTTTACTGTTTCTTTTCATCCCTGCCACTCGCAATAGACTTGACAAGAGGTTGCTGCTACTTTTTTTCATCCCTAAGTTAAAACCTGATATAACCTTTTAAACCAAGTTTCTCCCAGGACAAAACCTGTACCACAAATTCCATGAGAAACTACAATTAAAATCATGATTTAGTCCCGAGAAGCAGGAAGACCTAAACCTGCAAAACTCAATAACGTTGATAAAACATTTTCCTTTTAGAACTAAAAATTATTGCTTAAGCGTTTGAATAGAGATAAAGGAAACAAAACCCAATTTTTTCTTTTATTAACCTGGATGTGCACTTGTCACATGGTGATTGTAATACTATTACATGCACACACAGACGACATTTTAGATACGACATTTTAGATGCACATGCAAGCTTTAATGCATGTATTTAGCTAATTCTGAAGGTTTAAGCTAAAAATTACGTCCCATATTCATTTGTTCAATAATCAAAAATTTTGTTTAAATGTTGTTAATCTGTTCATATTTCAATTTTTTGTTGCTGGGGTGTTTGATTGTTTTGCTACTTGCTACTTGTTTAAGCTTTTATGTGTTTTAGTAAGTTATTTTTTGTGATTTTTAGTATGGAACCAACTCCTAGTGCTACCTCAACGGGTTCAACTACAAACACAACCAACAAATCAACTGATCCAGCTAGGAAATATTCTACGCAAGAGCCTAGCAACAGAAACAATTTTCGTTGCCATTTTTGTCCTAAAGTAGTGAAGGGTGGTGTGTATCGAATGAAATGGTATTTCATTGGTGGTTTGTCGAATGTTACTAGTTGCCCAAACTGTCCAGAGCATGTAAAGGAAGAGGTGAGGTCTTTCATGCAAAAAAAAGAAATGGAAACCATAGAAAAAAAGATGAACTCAACTTACTCAAGAAGATTCGAATATAGTGACTATGATCTTGATGAAGATGATGATTGTGTTGAAGTGCAAGGGGGTAGTAGCAAGATGTCTCAAAGAAAAAAACCAAGACAAAAAGGTCCTATAGATAAGTTCTTCGCTCCTAATCCCGAAGATGTTGTCAAAGGAGGAAAAGTTGGAAAAAGAGGGAAGCAACAAACTATCAATGTCGCGGTTCAAAAAGAGTTGAGGGAAAAAGTTTGTAAATATATAGCACGGTGGTTCTATGATGCGGGCATTCCTTTTCATGCCGCAAATTACGATAGCTTTAAGGTTATGATTGAAGCTATAGGATAATTTGGTACGGGAATGAAACCACCAAGTATGTATGAGCTTAGAGTTCCATTACTCAAGCAAGAAGTAAAAGAGGTGGAAGAGCAAGTCAACGAACACAAGAAAGAATGGGCCGATAAAGGTTGCTCAATTCTATCGGATGGATTGAGAGATTCGGTTGTCCAAAAAGACATCGTTAACTTCATGGTGAACTCTCCAAAGGGTTCCATATTTGTTAAATCGATGGATGTTTCGAATGTCTCCAAGGATGCCAACTTGTTGTTTAGGATTCTTGACAAAATGGTAGATGAAGTTGGCGAAGAGAATGTGGTGCAAGTGATCGCCGATAATGCATCCACCTATGTCAAAGTGGGTAACATACTACTAAATTACTACTTACTAACATTTACTAATTTAGTATTTCTCTTTCATATATATATATATAATGTCACCTAATTGTTTATTTTAAACTTTGTAGGAAAGATGTTAGAAGCTACTAGAAAATATCTTTACTGGACTCCATGTGCGGCACATTGCATATATCTCATGTTAGAAGATATTAGGAAGCAAATTCTACAGGTGAAAAATTGTTTGAAAAAGGCAATTTCGGCAAACGGGTATATATACAGTTATGTTAGTCTAGTAAACTTGATGAGGAAGTTCACAAATCAAAGGAACTTGCATAGGCTCGCGATTACTCGATTTGCAACATCCTTTATCACTCTCCTTCAATTTCACAAGAAAAAAAATAACTTGAGGAAGATGGTTGCTTCTCAAGAATGGATGGAGAGCAAGTGGTCTAAGGAACATAAAGGCAAATTGTTGCATTCTTACTTTTTACAAGAGACCTTTTGGAGGAACATTGCATATACACTCAAGTTGACCATAGGTGGGAACATCAACTCCACCGACCTTTGCATGCCACGAGCCATTACTTAAACCCATCCATTTTCTATGATGATGTGAAGCGGATTAAAAGTTGTGAAGAAATAATGGATGGTTTACAATCTTGTATTGAACGGTTGTCCCTGAATGCTCAAGTGGAAGACCAAACCATAAGAGAATTAAACAAGTATAAGAAAGCCGAAGGGATGTTTGGTAAAAGTTCGGCTATTAGGCAAAGGAAGCAAATGGCACCGGGTAAGAATAATTCTATAAATGTATTAAATTAAAAAAATATGTTATTACTCTTATGCATACTAATTTTACTCTTCTAATTTTTTGCTCCTTGTAGCGGAATGGTGGGAAACATATGGAGCTTCGTCTCCTAACTTGCAAAAGTTTGCCATATGAGTTCTTAGTCTTACTTGTAGTGTCACAAGTTGTGAAAGAAATTGGGGCGTTTTTCAACACGTAAGTGTAATAGTGTATATATATCCCAATTTCGTATTTTAATTAAAATATATTATCAATTAACATACAATTTAATTTTTGATAGCTTCACACCAAGAAGCGCAATAGGTTGGCACAAGAAAGATTGAATGATATGGTTTATGTTAAATTCAATCATTCATTGCAACGCCGAAAGGGAACCCCTGATCCTATTGCTTTGGATGATATTGATGAAAGTAATGAATGGTTGATGGGTAGAATGGAAAATGATGAAGTTGAAGAAGATTTGGTGTTTCTTGAGATGATCTTAGATGGGATGCGGTGGGTAGAGCTTCTGGGGCTAATGAGCCAAGTCATTTCACTAGAGGATCAAGAAGAGGAGGTGATGATGGGGTCGGCCCATCAAGAAATGATAAAGGGAAAAGACTCGCTCTTGTTGACAAAGATGAGATGGAGAAAGACATTGGAGTGACTGATGATGATGAGGGAGATGTAGACATGCTCGGTTTTGATGATGGGGATCTTGGAGACATTTAGTTTGTGACTATAGAAAGTTTGGAGAACTTTGGGGGGGGGGGGGGAAGTGGGGGCTATTGTTGATTTGTCTTTTGGTTGTTTTGATTTTCCTATGCGTACTTGTCTATTATGTTATTCAACATTTATGAAGTACTATTAAACTACTTTTGGTATTAATTGAAGTATTTTTTATATATAAGTATTTACAAGGTATAAAATTAGTTCAAAAGTATTTTTTTTTGTGAAAATTAACTCATCGGGTTTGTGATGCGAGCGCATCCCGCAATTTAAAACCAAGCTCGTCACCTTTTAGATTTGCAAATTTTTTGAATTTTAAAATTATTTAATGAATATAAAAAGTTTAAATTCTCAATAGACTCGTCTTTCAACGTGATGAGTCCCTATTGAAAATATTAAAAATTGGTCAACGTGGAGTCGACATAACTAGACCAATAAAAAATATTTTCAAGCGAACTCGTCGACGTGACGAATTAACCTTTTATTGTAACAAATATCGTAGATTGTAAATTAAAATTTCTGTTGGCCTATTGGATCAAATAATTTACCCACTTGTAGTATTTGGGAAAAAACCTATAAGTAACGGTTAAACATAATGATAAAATATATTATAAAATTCATATTTAAATCTTAAAAAAACATTAATAAAAAATTAGGAACTCCGAACATAGACCATAAAATAAATAAATATATATATATATATATATAATAAACTAACAACAGGCCCAATCCGATCTCATCAAAATGTCACAACCCTAAGCATAATTGAGTTGTATTCCTTTAAGCCCTTTAATTAAGTACACTCCTGCTTACGTAAGGCCCAATCCAATCTCATCAAAATATCACATCCCTAAGCCTAATTGAGTTCTATTCCTTTAAGCCCTTTATTTAAGTACGACCCGAACCCTTTATTTAAGTACTAAATATTAAAATAAAGTACTAGATATGTAATATAACAAAACCCTAGAGGGCAAACCTGGAAACCAAGAAGTTCCAACCATTTCCCACCGGCCACCACAATAAAATTTCACAAACCCCTGCTCTTACTTTCATCTGTCAGCCGCTCTTTACTCCTCCCCGTCCCCGAATCGGAACCAATCCTAGTATCGTACAATGACAATCCGCTTCAAGAAAAACCGCAAGAAGCGCGGCCACGTGAGCGCAGGCCACGGCCGTATCGGCAAGCACCGCAAGCATCCAGGTGGGAGAGGTAACGCCGGAGGTATGCACCACCACAGGATCCTCTTCGACAAGTATCACCCTGGGTACTTCGGGAAAGTGGGTATGAGATATTTCCACAAGCTCCGCAACAAGTTCTACTGCCCCATCGTCAACATCGACAAGCTCTGGTCTCTCGTCCCACAAGACGCCAAGGCAAAGGCCAACAAGGATTCGGCGCCAATGGTCGACGTAACCCAGTTCGGTTACTTTAAGGTCCTGGGAAAAGGTGTGTTGCCCGATAATAAACCGATCATAGTTAAGGCTAAGTTGGTATCCAAGACTGCTGAGAAGAAGATTAAGGAGGCTGGTGGTGCTGTTGTTCTTACCGCCTAGGTTTGGATTTTTTGCTTTTGCTTATGGATCTAAATGATATTTCTGCAATATTATGATCTTGGACTTATTTTTTAAATGAGATTTTACATCAGGGTTCTTAATTTCGCTTCAACTAATATATGCTGCTTGTTTTCACGTGTTTTGATCTCCTGCATTTCTTTGATTTAGTTAGATATAGACATTCATACCCCAAACAATGAGAATACGCGTGCGCTTACTTAAAAAACAAACCCTATATACAAACTTAGAAACAACCTAAAATTACCCAAACGAAGAACTTACACTAACTCCACTCTCGATGCCCGATTCATAGCATTGATTGCCTGCAGTTCAGCCTCCTTAGCTGCAATTACTTTTTACTACCCCTCGAAAAGGTTCTTGCAAAGTTAGAGCCAAGCTCTTCCTCTGCTAACCAAAAGGATTCCACGGCTTCAGCCGTAAGGTTGTTAGCTTCGCCAAAAGCCTTCTCAGCTTCCATATATTGGGCCACACGAAAGTTTGGAAAACACCAGAGTCAACGGTCCCACGGGGCACTCCTCCAAGAGGAGCTGCAAACAATAGCTTCAAGTGACAATCAAAGAAGACTCCACCGAGAGAAGGCAACAATGTGTGCAAAAGATATAAACGTAAAGATTGAGGACTGCTATCCCAAATCCTCAAATAATCAGATAAAATAATACGTCTCCAACGGTCGAAACAACTCGCCGTTCCACCACTCCGCATACAGGGCACCGTACATTCAGACTCTGGGAACTATTCAATGAATCAACATTGTGATGTCCTCCCAAAATATCCTATTAAATGTTTTTAAAAAAGAGTCTCCGAGTATAAAAGATGAAAATTAGATTGATATATTGAAGAACATGTGTCAAGATTTACAAAGGAGAACAGCTTATGAAACTCAAGGTTCCAGAGAAAATAAGGTGCTTCTTATGGCTGGCTTATCGTGACAGACTCCTTACAAATCATATTCGGTGCACTCGTAGTCTCACCCATGACGCCTCGAGTGGAACATGCCATGCCCCTGATGAAATCTTGCTGCACATTCTCCGATACTGTAAGGTTGCTCGCGATCTTTTGTAGAAGCTAATTCCGAGTCCACAGTTATCTTCATTCTAGTCTTTCCCTTCAAGATTGGCTGTAGAAAATCTTCATTCCTCTACCAGCTATGCTATTGCCCACTGCCATTGGAATTTTTTATTTTTTTTTTGTCATGGTTTGGCATCTTTGGAAAGGAAGAAACTTGGCTATTTTCCAAGATATTCTAGCCGAGGCGAATAATTTACTTCGAACTAGTTTGGCTTGGGCAAAATACTTCAGTCTATCCCAAGCTAATCCACCAGTATGCTCACGATGATCAAATGACTCGATTTAATGGCAGCCGCCCGATATGAGGACAACTTGCATAAACACTGATGGTGCAGTCTCGAGGATCACTAGGAAAGCGGCAACAGGTGGTGTTTTTCGGGATCACCCGGGTCATTTTATTTTGGCTTACAACAAGGACTTAGGCTCCTGTTCTATTCTCTCGGTGGAACTTTGGGGTATCTATCACGGACTTCATTTAGCCTGTACCCAAGGATTTGAACGAGTTCTGGTTCAAACTGACGGTAGCGAAGCATTCCACCTTCTTCTGCATGCCTCGTCGGACAGTCCTTTCTCACAAATCATCATGATTGCAGACCTCCTTTGTAGGGCTTGACATGTTGACTTCAGGCTAATCAAGGGTGCAGCAAATGGCGCAGTAGATTTCCTGGAAAAACTTGCTCCAAGAAACGATGCCTCATTGTCTCTCTACCATCTCCCCCCGGATGGCCTGGAACCAATACTTCGAAGAGACCTTCATGGTCCTCCATTTTTAAGACTATTGATATCACTTCTCTAGCTTTTGCTTCATTAAGAAAAAATAACATTTTAAATTAAAATATTTATTTTCTAAAACTTATTAAAATTAGAATATCTTTTTAAACAGTAAATAATTAAAATAGATTTTTGATGTAATACAAAAATTGTTAATAGATTGTTAAGGGATAGTTGTTGAATGTTGAGATATTAAATATACATTAAAATATATATTATAAATTTATTAAAAGTTAAAACTTAGAAAATAATTATAGCATGCCACACCAAACTTCCCAACAAAAATTAGGTTAAAAACAATTACCTCTTCTTTAAATTAAAATTTTTATTTATTAAATCGATATTATTTAAATTTATATAACTAAATTTAAGGGTGAACTACACGGGTGACCACCAAACTATGGTCATGAATCGATCTTGTCACCGAACTACTTTTTGTCTCAATTCGACCACCAAACTTTTTAATTGACTCAATCAGATCATTCTCCGTTAAAAAAAACAGAGAGTCTGACGTGGCCGTTAATTTGGTGACGTGTCCGTTAATAAATTGGCATAATTATATAATTGGTCCTTAATATTTACATATACTATCAATTTAGTCACTATTTTAATTTAATTAAATAAATTTAACTATCCAATTAGAACATGACACGTGTCAATATATGATTGGAATGTTTTATTTATGAATTTTAAATTATTTAATTAATTAATTTTTTAACCAATCAGGTGGTGACACATGTCACCACCTGATTGAAATGGAAAATTAAACAACAGAGTTGCGCCCAAGGAGTTTCAAACCCGTGTCCAAGGTGGAGAAGAGTCCCAAGCGCCAAAACCATTGGGCCAAAGCTCTCCAATGGTTCTAACTTACAATAATTTCTATTTGACTTGTACCGTTAAATAAATTATTTGGTTAAATAAATTTCAGTTCGATTAATGATTACAGAAAAAATTCGGTTAATTCGATTCGGTTAATAATTTTCAAATAAATTTCGGTTCGATTAACGGTTAAGGAAAAAATAATATATTTTATTCGGTTAATAATTTTAAAATAAATTTTGAATCGATTTGACCGTTCGATTAACGGTTAAAGAAAAAAAAATTTATTTTATTCTGTTAATAATTTTGGGTGCGATTAACAGTCAAATAATTTCGGTTCGATCAATGGTTAAAGAAAAAATCGGTTAATGATTTTCAAATAAATTTTGGTTCGATTAACGGTCAAATAATTTCGGTTCGATTAATGTTAAAGAAAAAAATTTCGGTTAATTTGGTTCGGTTAATAATTTTCAAATAAATTTCGGTTCAATTAACGGTCAAATAATTTCGGTTCGATTAATGTTAAAAAATTTTGGTTAATTTCGTTCGGTTAATAATTTTCAAATAAATTATTTTTTCCTTAACCGTTTATCGAACCGAAATTTATTTGAAAATTATTAACCGAATTGAATTAACCAAATTTTTTCTATAACCATTAATCGAACTGAAATTTATTTAACCAAATAATTTATTTAACGGTACAAGTCAAATAGAAATTGTTGTAAGTTAGAACCATTGGGGAGCTTTGGCCCAACGGTTTTGGGGCTTGGGACTCTTCTCCCTCTTGGACGCACGTTCGAAACTCCTTGGGTGCAACTCTATTGTTCAATTTTCCATTTCAATCAGGTGATGACATGATAATTTAAAATTCATAAATAAAATCTTTCAATCATGTATTGACACATGTCATGTTCTAATTTGATAGTTAAATTTATTTAATTAAATTAAAATAGTGACTAAATTGATAGAATATATAAATATTAAGGATCAATTATATAATTATGCCAATTTATTAACAGCCACGTAGGACTCTTCGTTTTTTTAAACAAAGAGTGGTATGATTGAATCAATTAAAAAGTTTGGTGGTCGAATTGAGATAAAAAATAGTTCGGTAGCAAAATCGATTATTGACCATAGTTTGGTAGTTTCCCGTGTAATTTACCCTAAATTTAATTACAAACTTCAATGGTAAGGAGACGAAACGGGAAAATAGATATCTTGACACCCATTTGTAGCACGAAACTTAACATGTTCTTAATACTCAAATTGTAACTTATTTCTATATACTTTTTAATTCTCTTTTGAACAGAGTTAAAATGTGCTTTAAAAATAATGATTTTACATTTACTAATTAGCGTATAAATAGCGAGTAATTTCATTCAGTTTTATATCCCTAAGTAATTGTTTGCTTTTGAAACACTCTTTTTATTTTTTTTTAGTGTTGTTTTGAGTGGAGAGAAAGAACAGTACCACAAGAATCCATTATATTTTTAGGGTGTATCAAAATTTGGAGAGTCGTGCTAACCTCGGAGGTTCATTTGTTTATTGTAGTGATTACACACATTAGGACGAATTCACTTGTAAGTCGGTGATTAATACCACGACACGATTAATCAGTTCTTTGTTTATATATTTCATTATATATTTTTTCGATCAGTGTTAATGCCTCGTTTTGCATGTAACACCCCAAATTAAAAATCCTAGAATTTAGGAATTTCCATTCAAATCACTAAATTGATTTAAGGATGAAATTGAAATGACAATAATATTAGTGATAAGTATGCAAAGGATGAAAAGATTTTGGCTATTTTCAGAAAACCTAAGAGTACAGGGATTTTTAGTGTAATTTTCCCAATGATTTTTACGTTAAAATGGCTCTATTTCACAACTCAATCGCCTGTTCCTTCTTTTCTTTCTCTTTCTCCTCTTTTCCTTTTTGCTTCCCTGCAGTGCCGCTTCTCCCATTCTTCTTCACTCAACACGGATCGACGAAGCAAGGTCGTCGGTATAACAATCATCTCGTCACTACCTCGTGAAGCCACCCTCACCTTGAACGTTTCTACACCATAGCCTTTTACTCTCACAGAAAATTAGAACCCATTTTATTTTTGGGTAAACTACATGACTGACCACTCAACTATGGTTAAAAATCATTTTGATCACTGATATTTTGATTTAATCAATCAGATCACCTAACTATATAAATATTTCAATCTAGTCACTGACCATTAGTTTTTAATAGAAGAAGTGACGTAGCAATTAAAATTTAAATGATAAAATGACGTCTCAGATAATATTTTTGGTATAATCATATAATTGATTCTTATTACTTACATAAAATGTCAATTTGATCTTAATTTTAATTAAATTCAACTTAATCCTCTAATCAAATTGCGATACATCTAAGCCTTTAATTGGAGATTAAATTTATTTTTCTCCAATAAGAGGGTGGCACGTGTCACCCCTTAGATTATAAAAAAATAAATTAAAGAAAATTGGCATTTAAGGGAATTGAACTAGGGTTGTTAAGCTACCAAGCAAATGATCAACCACTAAGACAAAGGTACTAGATAGTTTATACATTACAACATATGGTATATATTTTTATACAAATTTTTAAAATTTAATTAAAAGTTATAACATTTTATATATATTAATTTAATTTTATATAATTTTAAAAATATATTTTTTATTTCTATCCAACTGATTAAGTATATTTTGATTTTATTTATATTTTTAAATATATTTTAATTTTATCTTAACTTCAAATATATTTTATTCTTTTATTAACTTAAAAAAATTATTTTATTATTACCTTAAGTTAATAAAAGAATAAAATATATTATTGGAATATAAGTTAATAATAAAATCTATTTTTAAGTTAAAATAAAAAATATATTTAATAAATTGAATAAAAAATAAAATATATAATTTTTTCTACCATTAACTGGAATAGATAAATAAAATATGTTGTATTATAGAACCAATTGTGGACCTTAGCTGGGTGGTTCAGCTATGTGCACATATTGTGATTTACCTATGTTTGTATCCTACTTTCTACATATTTCACCATTTCATTTTCTCTCTTACCAATGTGGTGACACATGTCACTATCATATTGGAGGAAAAATAAAAATATTAAATAAACAAAAAATTAAGAAAATATAATCCAATCTAATAATGACACATTTCACCATCTAATTAGATATTAAATTTATTTTAATTGAATTAAATTATGACTAAATTGATATAATGTATAAATATTAATGATCAAATTTGTAATCATACATATTTTTTAACTGTTATGTCACATCTTCCATTCAAAGTCAACGGCTAATGCCTTGATTGAAGCATTTAGTTAGTTAGGTGGTCTGATTGGTTAAATTGAAATAGCGGTGGTCAAAATGATTGTTCATCATATTTAATTAATCATCGGCGTAGTTTACCCTTTTATTTTCTTATTCTTTATTACTGTTTGATTTTTTTTTCGAGAATCTTGACTCAGTCATGATTATCTCTGTCGAATTTTAGGGGATCTATGAGGGCCTTAAGCTCGCTTGGTAGTAGGGTCGTGGCTAGGTTTTTGGAGGCCCTGTATAAATTCTTATAAAGGGACCTCTATTTTCTAGATATATTCGATTTTGGGGTAATAATAGTGGCGGTTTTGACAAACGCCGTAATAGGTCCATCTCTAGTGGCGTTTTTTCAATCAAACTGCAATAATAGTGATGTTTTTTAAAAAAAAATACCGCAATAAGTCCATCTATAGTGCGTTTATTGAAAAATACCACTATAGATATATATTTTTGGGGCCTGGGCCGTCGCGCAGTTTGCGCCGACTCAACCACGCCCCTTCTTGGTAGTACGATTTTGAGAAAGTTCAAGCTCAGACGCTTTTCAACTCATAAAAATGCTTCTCCTGACAGCCCCTACTCTTTAGTCATAGAGATTACGATGCTCCTTAACCGAGTTTGGTTTGTCGATTTCAAGGTCATCCATAGAGAGACGAATATAGTTGCTGACTACCTAGAAAAGATCGAAAGTTTCGGCAATCCTAACCGGATAGTGTTCGACACCACAACGGCTCCTTATGTCCGATTGAGACATACCTAATTGTTTCTTTTAGCCTATCTTTCATTTCAAAAGACAAACAAACAAACAAAAGCACTTTGAAACATTGATATCATCCTCCAGCAAGATTGAGGGAAAACAGATTCTCCTCTTGATTGTCAACATCACCTCCCCATTTCTTTATCCTCTCCTCTGCAATTGAAGCCTGAAATAACATATATGCATATTTTTATGTATGATTCAATGTTTGATACAGCTTTTACAATTTAATTGGTACTTGTATATATATACATATATATGAGTAGAGAATGGTGGTTTTTAATTTTTTTTTCTGTACCTCTGTATTCCAGTTGGTTTTGTAAACCATTCCAAATAGTACACAAGTTTGTACGACTGTTCCTAATAGCATCCCACACCAAATTCCCTGCAAGCAAAAGGTTAAATAAAATTAAAAGAAGCATTTCAACTTTAATTTCTCTTTTACTTATGAAATTATATTGTTTAAATTCATAACGCTAGCGAACTTCGACATGAGAATATATACCTGGACACCCATTTGAAGTAGAAACCCTAATATGAGACCCAAAGGAACCCCAAAGAGATAGTAACATGCAATGTTCACGTACGCAACGACAGTTTGCCATCCAGCACCAATGGCCATTCCTATATAATGATAATAATAATAATAATTAAACCATGCATTTAAATTTCTGTTTACGCTATGATGAATAAAAATGAATTATAAGTGTTAAAATTCAAATTCTAATTCAAACCTGAAAGGATGGGTTGAACATTGTTGATGATAATGCAAATGGCTAAGAGTGGAGTGAGTTGTATAACGAGTTGTTGAACTCGTGAGTCATTTGAAAACAGGTAGGGATAATCATTCCTAAAGATGATGAGAATAAGGGAGACCATGACACCTATCATAAACGAAGATGTCACTGCCACCACCAATGAAAATTTGGCTGTTCTTGGATGCCCTGCTCCTAATTCATTTGAAACCCTAACACTGCCACATTTTCATTCATTAAAGTTAATGTCTACCGTAATTATTGGTAAATTGAGATTAATATGCTTAGGATGTCGATATTACCTTATAGCTGCATTCATCCCGATAGATACCATGACTGTCCATCCATGTATGTTCATACTGCAAAATTCAGCATTCCAGAGTTATTAATTGTATTAATTTGGAAAACAAAGTTTGATGGATGATTGAAAATAACTTGTTTTTAATTTTGAGGGAGTTTACGAAAAAGTTTAGAAGAATCTCACGTGGCATGCATGTCGGTGCATGTGTATCTGTCATTGTGCTCTATTTACCTCATTAAGCTGATGTGGCCGGTTGCTAGTTTCGTAGTTTCTTTAAAATGATACTTAATATGTAATTAATTTTTATTAAGATGATTTTTCTATATAAACGTCAACTTTTTTTTATTTATTTTTGTGTGCAAACAAAACTTTCCACATTAAAATTTTTAAATATTCTTTTGCAAATGATTTATAACTCGATAATTTTTTATTTTTTCATGAAATTACACAATACATATAATCTAAAATAGAAAAACTTTGAGGGTAAGTAATTTAAAATACGAATAATTTTATAAAATTTTTATAACTAATATTTCTTTTACAAAATGATGATGATGATTAGAAATGTTTTATAATTTAAAAAATTATAAATTTTATATATTTTTGAAAAAATTATTGAATTTTAAAATTAATTGTCTAAAAATATAAAAAATATTAAAATAAAATTTTAATTACAATTGAGGGATCAAATAAATTATTATTCATTAATTATTATTTTTAGCAACAATTAATAATGTTTATTCATTTTTAATAAAATTAGAATTTAATATTTATTTAATATTTTTTAAAATTAATATTAGAAAAATATTTTAAATATATAGGTAATATTTTTTAGTTTTACCTTCTTTTGTTATTGAATTTTATTCACTTTTAATTCTTTTTTATTATATTTTTATTAAATTTAAAATATATGAGATATAATTCAAATTAATCATTTATTATGTTATTATTCAAATTAATTAAGAAAAATTATGGTAAAATGTTTCTAAAAGAAAAGTATAAATACATACATGAAAATCTAAATATTTTTCTTTCTTTTGTGTTACTCTCTAAACTTGTAACAAAATTCAATAAAAAAAAGAATGTAAAGATAAAAAATATCACCTATATATTTAAAATATTTTTTCTAATATTAATTTTTAAAAAAATATTAAATTCTAATTTTATTAAAAATGAAGAAACATTATTAACTGTTACTAAAAAGTAATAATTAATAAATAATAATTCATTTGATCCCCAATTGTAATTAAAAGTTTATTTTAATATTTTTTTATATTTTAAACAATTAATTTTAAAAGTCAATAAAATTTTCAAAAATATATGAAATTTATAATTTTTTAAATTATAAAATATTTCTTATTATCATCAGCATCATCATCATTTTGTAAAAGAAATACTAGTTATAAAACTTTTATAAAATTATTTATATTTTAAATTATTTACCCTCAAAGTTCTCCTATACGTATTGAGTAATTTCATGTAAAAATCTAAATTTTTTGAGTTATAAAATAATTTTCAAATAATATTTAAATATTTTAATGTAGAAAGTTTTTTTGCACACACAAAAAAAATAAATAAATAATTGACCTTTTTACACACAAATCATCTTAACACAAATTAATTACATATTAGACTCATTTTAATAAAAATTACGAAACTAGCACCCGATCTTTACACGTAGCATAAATCGCGGTGCATGAATCGTGTCTTTCGACACGTGGCGTAAGGCTCGGTGTATGGGCCGCAATGGGTGTTAGATCGAGAAATATATCTGAAAGGGTGTCTGACAGGTAAATATATAACGAAAAGGTATTTTTGAGGAAAATCGCCAAATCTAACTCTGACAAAACGTCTTTAAAAACAATTTTTAGAGAGTTTTTTTATTAAATTAAGATTATTAAAAAGTATTATTTATTTTAAATGTTTTTAATTATTTAAGAATATTAAAAAGTATTATTTAAGAATGTTCAATCATCTATTGTAATTATTAATTCATACAATAATTCCTCTAATCACTTGTGTAAATTGGTTAAAGTTTTTATGAAGTTTACATATGGCAAATTATGAGGATTGAATTGAAAACTTTCTTCAAGTAGCCATGACTCACTTGCTTTACTGGAAAAAAACAACAAACACGATAATCAACAAGCTGTGGTTAAAAAGATCACTCACCAGATTGACAAAGCATCCACTGATATCTCGGCGTCCTTCAGGTATCCAGCAAACAATATCAATGCCGTGAAATACCATACCTCCAAACTGTACAAAAATGTAAATGTTTTCAAAGAATAGATATTAAATAAAACTTTATATGTAATTTAAAACTCATTTCAAAAGAAGTTGATGACAAATTGTTATACTTGACGTGCCATAGCATTATTGCTGAAGCTATAGACAATCTAATAAATCCCCATAAATGGTGAAATGCCTTCCAGGAGAACCCGGTCCAAGCCCGACCAAAAGTGCCGCTAATAATGTACAAAAACTGGGCCATGTCTGTGAAAATCCACGACGTATTCAAAACAATGGCAGCACCGACTAGACCCCATCCCAGCTTCAACATCAAGAGCCAGCTCAATACAACGTGCAGAACCAAGGCCAAACCGGCTATCAATGCCATCACCATCATCTTGCTCTGCGCCTGTAAGAACTTGGCCATCGGGAAGTTAAACGCGTAAGCAAACAGTTGCGGTATCATCCATATCGAGAATACACCGGTGGCCTTCGATATGCTCTCCGTTTGGCCTATTAGCCTCAAAATCGGAGCCGCGAATACGTACAACAAGCTTAAGAGCAAAGCGGTTGAGTTGAGGATGACCCATGATCTTTGCATGTATACACCTAGCATGTCAATCTGCCCTGCTCCAAATGCTTGACCGCATAGAGTTTCCAGTGCACTTCCCATGGCAAGCTATTCAAGTTTAATCAAGTATTTTAAGTGTTATTTGTAACTAAAAGAAAACTTTAACGATGGAAAATTAATCAATTTACAGATTTACCATGACACCGAAGGAGAAACCGACGATGACGGAACTCTCGACGGAGACGGCGGCTAGAGCCAGGGTGCCAACTTGTCCGGAAAAGACTTGAGTGATGGCTCCGAGTGATAATTGACAAATGGTGGTGAAGATGGCGGGGCCAGCAAGGAACCAGAGCTTCTTAGATTCAACCATGTACTCTCTGAAGAAGTCGCGGACGCCGTTGATCGGTAGGATGTCATCGGTATCAGGGTTGAAGGTGGCCGACGAGAAGGAGGGTTTAGAAAGTAACCGCTCCTGATGGCGGCTGTCCTCGCCGTCTAGTCGAGGTGAAAGAAGAGATTGCTTAGCGTCATCCATAGTGAACGACAAGAACAAATCGATTACGATTTTTAAGGCAGCAGACCTTTAAATATACAGACGATATGTTTTAATAGAAGGCGGCGTTGTGTGAAGATTGTATGATATGTGAATGGACAATGCTCCAAAATTAGTTATACATTCTTGATAAAAGAAATAGTCATATATTAGGTAATAAAATTTGAATTGTATTGCGCAAGTTAAGATTTTACTAATGTAAACACCATTTTTTTTATCATTATTTTATTATATTTGTAAAAAAAAGTTAATTAATTAATATTACCTTGTAGCAGTTGGGGTTATTAATTCCCCAACCACTCTTGTAAAATCACTCAGCAATTTGTTCCCCGAATAGAGGGAATGAAAAGAGGTTTTTTCTTTGACCTTCTTTTTCACTACTTTTTAGCTCTTTAGTTTCTTTTTTTTTTTTCTTGGCTGTTTTGGTAGGTCGCGTTTTCGGTTATTTAGAATTTACCGTCATTACGTCCGTCGCGGGCGCTATTGCGGCCGTCGCAGGTAACTGGGATGACGACGAAACCGCTATATCGCAATCGAAATCGCGGTCGCGGACCGTTTTTTAAAACTCTCGTTTTGGAGTTCACGGGTTGCATAAGGGTTAGCCACCGTTGAGCGGTGGCCGACGTATGAGAGAGGCCGGTTTGTGGCCTATCAGCGCCAGTTGTAGGTGGCCGGAGGTGAGCTCGTGGGGGTCCTAGGTGGAGCCGTAGTCGAAAGGAAGAAGAGAGGAGAATAGCTTGGGGTCACTTAGACGTGGCTTTCTTTAGTCGGTTTGGGTGTCGGTCGGAGTTTTGTTGTTCGCTGTTGAGTGTCCAAGGGTGGTGGCCGACGTTGGGGCTCGTTTTGTGAGCCCTCTCGGCCGCCGAATAGGGAGGTGAAAGTGAGGAGAAAGAGTGAGAGAGGAAGATGACGGGAAGGTTTTTTTTATGGCCGTTCAGGGGTTTGTCGGTCCTCCTCTGTCGTGGTTGAGGTCGTCGGTGGGTATAGGTCAGTCACAGGCTTGGTGGCCGGCTTGTGGCCTGCGAGAACTCGTTTGAAGCTTTGTTGATTTCCTGGCAGAGTTACGTAAATGGTGGGAATATGTTGGTTGTATGAAAAATGGGTAAATCACGTATCAGGTCCCCAATTTCTAGGAGTTTGTTGTTTTGTTCATCTAGTTTTAAGGTCAAATCATAGTTAAGGTCCTCACAGTTCCAGCATGCATTACGCTTTGGTCACTATCAAGGTAAAATTACCTTTAAGCTCCTCATATTTTAGTTTCTTTTGCACTCTGATCATTTACTTTATTATTTGTTTCGAATATGCATATTGATTTTATTAACTTTGATTTGGTCATTATTTTTGCAATTTCATTAGTTATAATTTAGCTGTTGTTTTATTATTTGTTGCATTTTGGTCACTGGACCTTTCTTTTCAATTTATTGTACTTTTATCATTATGTTTTATTTTATTTTAATTTAGTCACTATTTTTATTCTGATTTGTTGAATTTAGTGGTACTGAATTTGGTCAATGGACCTTTCTTTTCCAATTTATTTTACTTTGATTCAATTAAAACGGGTTTAGGAGTCGGTTATGCGTGGGGAAGGATAAACACCCCCATGGCGCCCAAAAATTGGTACTGAATCGCGTACACGTTGTTGTAAATGGTGAAAATTTTGAATTCGCATCGATAATTAAAGTGTGAACCCTTTATTAAAGTTGTTGTTGTTAATTTACTTCAAATTAATAATTTAAAGAAAATTCTTTGACTTGATAAGAAATCTCAAAAATTCGCAATCCTCCGTCAGGAAAGCTATTTCGACTACTTATTCGTAAAAGAAGATTCTATCTTAGAATATATAACAACGCAAATTGAATAATAATAAAAAAATGTATATTGACATTTGCATGAAATAAAATAAATTAATCATAATGCATTGAATCATTCACATAAAAATATTTAATTAATAAAATAAAATAGATTTATTTCAAGTCTCATTTCGTTCGAACGTCGTATTGGATTGTACCACTTCAATCAAATGATACTTTCCACGCTAGTTCTACAAATACGTGTTCTTGAAATTTCTCAAATATTGTATCACTAAATAAGGAAATAATATGGAAATAAATACAATCGTAAACATAAAAATAAAATAATCATAACAAATAAAAAAATTACATTTGCTTAATGATATACAAATAAATACATGATATGCGAAATGTATAAATTCAAAAGGGACTAAAAAATAATAATAATATTTGCACATCAAAATGTAAATAGCCAAATAAACATATTCAAAAACTTAAAGGACCAAAAATAAAAATGACATAAACTTAAAGGTCTAAATTGAAAAAATAGAAAGTTAAAGGACTAAAAAACTAAAATAGAAAGTTAAAGGACTTAAATAGAAAAAAAAAATTTGAAGAGCTAAACAGTAATTACAAATAAATCAGAGCCAAAATTACAAATATTAAGCAGTACAGATACTTGAAATGAAAATAACTCATAAATAATATTAAGGACAAAAAAGTAATAAACAGAAACATAAAGGGCACAACGACTAAAATAAAATTTTTACAAATGTGGTGGCCAAATTCGAATAACAACAAAGATTATACAATACATGGAATCAGTGGCTAAAACATAAATATTATAAATACCATAGCCAAAGTCGAACATTAATAAAAGTGCAATAGTCAACCAAATAAGGACTAAAACGATCTAACATGAAAACATACAACTTAATTATAAATAAAATAAGGAGCGATGGCCCATGCTTAAATAAAATCACAAAACACTTAAATGTAAATAGGGACGAAGATACAATATAGACAACATTGGTGACCAAAACATAAAATATTAAAAGTTTCATTGATGATAAGAATAAAAAGGTTACAAACAGTAGAGGACCTATATTGCAAATAACCCATGCACTAAATTGCTTTCTGGGTCCTCCATGAAACGACGCCGTTCCGAACTATATATATAAGCTAAAAAATAGGTCCAAACCGACCCACCTTTCTCATTTCTTTCATTCCTCATTTTTTTAAGAGAGAGAAAGAGAGAAAGCTCTCTGGAGCTTTCATCGGCGACGAGCCATCACCGTGTCGGTCGCCACTGATCGGCACCGACCACCGTCTACCAATGGAGGAGAAGAGCGACAAAGGCACTATTCGAAGCATTTATTCCTTCTCAACAATGATCCAAGGGCGGATTTTCGAGATGGAGGTTAGATCGGAGCAGATCTAGAGGAGAAAAGGTAAACCTTTTTATTTCCCGCTCTTTTCCTTTCTTTTTCTTTTTCTTTTTGATTTTTTTCTTTTAATATGGTTACCCCAAATCTCCTTTGTATTTTATCTCTTTTTCCTATCAAAACCTTGAATCTTTCCCTTCCCTTTTCTCTCGATTTTTCTTTCTTGCTCTGAGGTTTTCCTTCCCCGAGTCTCTCTCTAGCCTCTTTCTTTTATCTCCTTTTCTTCTGTGATTTGTCTTCTCTTTGATATTTTTTTATTTTGGGTTTTCTTTGATTTGCTTGAGTGATTTGTCTTCTCTTTGATATTTTTTTATTTTGAGTTTTCTTTGATTTGCTTGAGTGATTTGTGGCAGGCGACCGATCACTGTAGATGAAAGCGGCGACGTCAGTAATGGCAGGTGGCGGCAGCAGTATGATATCCCTAAGGTTAGGTTTCTAAACCATCGTAGAATACATATGTACTTTCAATTCATCTTTTTGATAACAATTTTTTTATTTTTTAATTTAGTCCTTCAATTTTTCATAATTTTCTTATTTCTTCAATTCATCCTTTATTTTAAATTTGTTTTTTATCAAATTTGAATCATATGTTCATATACCACTATAGAATACCTATGTAAATTCAATTATTTATTTTGTTTTACTAAAAATGTACCCTTTTTTATTTAGACCCTTAACATTACATTTTACTCAATTTAGTATTTTGACTGCAATTGTTTGCAAATTCTTTCTTCCTATCAATTCATTGACTCTTTTATATTTTACCCTCAAAATAAAGAAAAATATAATATTTTGAATATATTTTATAATTTTAGATAGTATTTGATATATTAAATAAAATTGTAATGTGAAAAAAATATGAAATATATATATATATATTATATGGTTAGAGAAAGTCAAAAAAATTGGAACCAATCCTTACTATAATACTATAAATAATTATAATAAAATTAGCATAGATACTCGAATAACTAGACTCTTTCTTAAACTCGACTAAAAAAATTTCAAGTTAAGTTTGAGTTGTAAAATATGACTTGTCAACTTAAATTTTTTTGACTCGACTATAGTCGACTCGTTCAAATGCTCACCCCTAGCCTTTATGGAAAGTCTTTTTTCTGATTTATGACACATTTTCTCTGTCTTTATGACACGATTTTTATTATTTGGATGTTGTTTTTGTTTATCTTTTTTTTTCGGGATTTGATTTGACATCACCACGACTGATCAAGATATAACTTATTTGTTATCATACTGATCTTCCCTGCTTTGGACCATCGAATTGGATTTGGGTACGCAATTTGCGTTTGTGAATAGTATTTTTCACGTAGTTCAATTCTGAATTGTGATTTATCGATATCCCTTTTTGTGGTTCGTTTACGACAATATATGTTCTTATCTACTTCTTGTTCGAGTTTAATTGGTTAGGTTTTATAACTTTTTCCTTGTATGGTCCTTCTGTAATCTTAAGTGACTAGTTTTCTTGTGTTTAGGAAAATGTCCTTATTATGTGTTTAGTTTACGGTTTGCTATTGTAAACTTTCATTTTAATTTGGATAATTTTTTTATTTTAATAAAATTAGATGATTCCTTAAAATATATATTTAATTTTATATTTTTGTTTATTATATTAATAACATTAATAATTGACTATAAAATATCAAAATTTTAAATATATATACATTTATGTTATATCAATTAAGTTTAATTTAATTGAAAGGCCTAGCTGAAAATGACATAAGAACACCAAATTAAAATTTTCAGTGGAAATTGGTAAACCTTTTTTATTTGAA